CGGATGCAGGTGCGGGCGAGTATGCGTAGCTACAGGGGGTGGAATTGGACGTGCGTGCGCAGCCGTGCACCCGGGCGTGCTGGCTGCGCACACGCGTGTTGGGAGGCACGTGCGGGGAGTTACGTGTAACGGGGAGGGTGATGCGCGCGGGCAGGTGCGTGTCCATCTCTGCCGAGTGTTTGTGTCTATGCACGCGCGTGCACAGGCAGGGAGGTGCGCGCGTTGTTTGCCCATAGACGTGTGTGCGTGTGTGCGCGTTGACTGTGGTCCCATGGATGGGCCACCAAGGCGCACGACAGCTTGGACCTCCTTCTACTCTAGTCTACAAAGAGAGCTAGCCAATCTTCATGTACCAGTCTCCAAAAATGATTGGCCAATCTGCATGGGCTGGTCTTCAAACCAGCTGGCCAACCAGCATGTGCTGGTCTCCAAAACCAGCTGGCCAATCACCATGGGTTGGTCTTCAAACCAGCTGGCCATTCAGCACATGCTGGTCTCCAGAGCCAATTGGCCAACCAGCATGTGCTGTTTTCCAAACCAGCTGGCCAATCAGCATCAGCTGGTCTCCAGCTGGCCAGCCAGCACATGCTGGTCTCCAAAACTGGCTAGCCAATCAGCACATGCTGGTCTCCAAGCCAAATGGCCAAAGAGTATGTGCTGGTCTCCAGCGCTGGAGACCAATGAGACTTGCTGCCTTGCAAAGCCAGCTGGCTAATCCCACGTGCCAGTCTCCAAAGCCACCAGCCAATCGGCATGGGCAGGTCTCCAAAGCCAGCTGACCCATCCATGTGCACCAGTCTCCAAAGTCATTGGCCAATCAGCTCACTGGATGACGTCATGTGGTTGCCTCCAGAGTGGTTGGCCAATCCTTCCGTATCTGGAGCTGGTCGGCCAACCAACATTTCCTTGTCCCTGGTGCCAGCTGGCCAATCAGCGCACACCAATTTCCAAAGCCACCAGCCAACAACATGGTTTTCCCCAAAGCCAACTGGCCAATCAGCATTCCCAGATCGCCGAAAGCCAAGCAACCACCCCAAGAGACCCCAAAATTGGTCGGCCAATCAACAGGCGCTGTTCTTCCAAAGCCGGCTGGCCAATCAGGAGACGCCGCCGTTTCGCCATGAAGCAAGGGAGCCCAGGCAAGGCGGTGCCAAGGAAGCGCCGAGGGATTAAGGAAGGAGGCGTCGAGGCGTCTTCGTGCCCATCCGAGGCATCCAGCTCTGCCCCCGGGCGGGGGGAGCCGGGCCGGGCCCCGATGCCATTATAAAAGTGCTGGCACTCACGTGGCAGAGCTCTCGCAGATCGGGAGGAGACGCGTCGGGGCCGGTTGGGACAGTTTTCTTGATTTTTGGGGGTTTTTTTTGTTTGTTTGTTTGTTTGTTTTCCTGGGTGGGGGGACACGGAGCAATCCTGGCCACCAGGCCGGGACATCGGCAAAGCATCAGGAGCCCTCGGCCCGGCAG